CACACACACACACACACAGAGCCCTGTTTTTTGTTTCTCTTTCACTAGCTACGCGCTCTGTGAATGCGTGTACGTGTACTGTTCGTTGCTTCTGCGTCCTTGGTGGGACCGCTCATTTGCCGGTTCCCTCTTGCAGCCCGCCGTTGTACTCCGTCCGCCGCTGTCAAACTTTCCTCAGAAGATGTGCGCGCCGCCCCGCGCGCGCTCGCCTGCCTCGGTTATGGTGCTCCTCCTGTGATCTCCCGCGCGTCGCTCCCCGTTGCCCCACTGCTTTTCAGTCTCTCCCCCCTCCACCTGCGGCGAGCTTTTTTGGCGAATGGTTCGTTCGGTATGCCGCCGCGAACGCTGTATGTCGCCAGCGGAACGTCCTTCCGCGAATTACATTGTCCAGAATCCAGAATCTACTTACCCCGCTTTGCAGAGATTTCCCATTTCTGACTATTTCAAATTGAAATTGAAATTGAAATTTTTTTATTTTTTTTTTTAGGAAATGAAATTCAAATTGAGTTGAACTGCTGAGAATTGAACTGAGAATTGAATTGAATTGAATTGAATGGAAAGTGAAAGTGAAATGAAAAGAAAAAGAAAAGCGCTAACACACTGTCGACTTCCTCCAAAATAGCCGAGCCACATGGCGAAGCGGTGCACAAATGAAGTAACTATAACTAATGTTGTGTAACTACTGTTAGGGCATACCCATACTACTTTTTGTACGAAGCTCTGGACGTGATTGCGGTCATATTCGTCCCCGTATTGCCCTAAGTAGGCTCAGATTCATTTAGAAAAGTCCTAATGCGGTGTGAGCATGCCCTTAGCAGTAGACAGCAGGCCTCGCTCCACTACCGTCTTCCCCCGAATAGAACGCCCGGTCATTACATCTGCATTTGGTGCAACTTTCGGTCCATGTACGGCGATAATGACGGGGCGCGTTCTATTCGGGGTCACGAAGCTAGTCACCACCTATGAATTCGGTAACTCCAAAAAAAAAAAAAAAAAAAAAAAACTCCACCAATCCCCGCGCCGAATGGCTGACCGAGGTGGACACATTTAACCAATTCGTATAGCGTCATATGTATATATATTAACGTCCCCCGAAAAATACCAGTAGTGGTGGCTGATCCAGAAAAAAAAAAAAAAAAAAAAAAAAAAAAACCTGATCCATATGGCTGAGCGTTGTCACACATGTAACTACTGCTGGAACTGGACAAAATACACAAAACAAACCATGTGTTCGAAACCGGGGACAAATGCGCCCGTTATAGGTTTTTTTGGGCTGCAGCCTTCTTCAAATATCATCTTGAAACTGACCAGACCTACGTAATTGAAGCGTTTAAAGTTCATCTGGTTTCATCTGGATTCGAACTGACGTCCAGCCCTAGGTATTTTTTTAGCATTGGCTGCACTGCTCTCAATCAAATGTGCAAAATGAGACTGAATACACGGCTAGACCATTGAAAGATGCATTGCCATTTTTTTTGTCTTTTGTGCATGTGGAGACTAGTGCAGCCAAGCCCTAAGTTAATCTGGTTGTCTGGGTTCGAACTCAGGGCTGACATTTTAACAGTCCACGCGTGTACCAACTGAGCTAAGGGTGGGGGGACCCTGCACTGGCCGGCGCTAAGTGCTCTGCCGTTACCGGACCCGATAGGGTTCGTGCCATCACCCAGGGAGTTACCGTCGATGATAGCTCCCTGGTTCTTTGCACCATCACTCCGTCGTGGGATGGATATGGTAGGTTGACCTGACCATTGGCTGCAAAGAAAGGTGGGGCATAATCCTCCCCTCCTCGGGAAGAAGGACGTAATTAGTTTACGGGTACACTGCATAGTAGATTGGCTGTAGGTCGAGCTGGGTGACAGAGGGGTGTAGAGAGAAAGAAAGGAGAAGAACGACACAGTGGAGAGAGAAAATGGAAGGCCAAGAAATGGAAAGAGAGGGAGGACAAGAGAGGACTGGAAGATCCCCACCTCCGGGGCCACAGGAGGAGAGAAATTATTGGGAGGATGAAGATCGAATAAGAGACCTGTTAGCGCTGTGCTTCGATGAGGGGATCTACCCCATGGACATTGATCCAGGGGAAATGACGGTGGAGGGAAGGGAGGTGCATTTTAAATTAAACACTTCGCTGGATGAAATAAAAGTTAAGTGGCTAAAAGAGAGAACAGTGACGGTACTGTACAAGGACGCAGCCCGGTTCTTGCCGAAGAATATCAAGGGCGATCTTGTAAGGGCCTTCGAGGACGGATGGATACTAGGCAACGAGCAGTTCGCAGAGAACTCAAGGAGGGGAAGAGTTAAAGTTGAGGGTCCGAGCCATGTATCCTATGTAGCCAAGTCTCCAGAGATTGCGCAGTACATGATTAATGAGGGAAGCACTGTGACGCCCAACCTCACGCCCGGCGCGACTTCCTAATCGGAGTGGAGTGTGGGCCTGGAAGTGCGACAAAGGGGTGTGCAGGGGATTTTTGGAAAGTGGGGGTGGAGTCCCAGGTCGGAACTGAGATCTCCGGTGGCAAGGTTCAGGGGCCTAGATGCAATAGAGCACTGGGAAAATTTACGGGCGCGGGCTTTCACGCTGGTTGTGCGGAACGTCCGATCCTGGCGTGATCGCCAGTTCTGGGGAGCCTGTCGAGGCAGTCCTTGGGGCCCACGCCTTCGGGGTCTGCCACGTGGTGTGGGTTGGTGGGAGCTATGCCTAGGTGCCGAGGCTCCGGGGGTTCGGGTATGGGCACATCGCCTGCAGCTTCTGCACGGGGTGGAGGGTCAATAAGGTGCTATGGAATTCCACGGTACTACTGTAAGCTGATGATAGGGGAGGAGGAGGTGGTATGGCGGGAAATTAGTGGCGATAAGGACGAAGCCGGGGGTTATGAAATACTGCGTGTTGTACGTGTTTGGGTAGTAAGGTATTCGTGGGTCGCTTCGTACGGCGAGATGGAATTCCCTAGCGCAGAATCTTTCGTTCTCCGTGAGGCAGGGGAACACCGGGTTTCTCAAATTTCCCCGTAATCGGAGTCGCTCTTCTTCCCAGATTTCCCGGTACCCGAAATACGACTCGTAATCCTCGGAAATCCAAGATACGTCGGAACTCCGCGAGCTCGTCATTCTTTCATCACTCACGCCTTGGGGGATAAGTTAATCGGGGAGATCACCGCTCGTAAGTGCGTAAGAGAGATGCGAACAAGTCGCACTTACGCGCACTTACGCGTGATGGGTAACCCGATCCCGGTCGAYGTCGACTCCTACTTCAGTGAGGGGCTRACTACGGGCGTTAGCCAAGACGCRATTGGYGAGTCCGAGTGGTATGGACACATGTAAGCCGCGCTCCATTCGGATCACACTTGCAGGTGCCCATATGGCACGTCGGATGGTGCGCTCCAGACTACCCGTAAGATTCGACAAGCCAACACACTCTACTGATCACGCCAACATGCAATCCCCATTCTCATTCATCATGYACGAGGGTTCGAAGGGAAACGATCAAAAACGAAAAGGCGAAGGTGCGYGAACCATCCATACATCATTYGCAAAAGAGGATTCCGGAGAAGGAACGAAAAAGGAGAAAACATCGATACAAAAGAAAGAACCAAGTCGAACAAYMGGACGAGTATATGGCCGCAAAGACAAGGGCGAGTTGCCCGTAATCGACACCAAAATTTATATACACAGATAAAAAAAGGACCGACAAGAAAAGCGCAAATCCATGTCCATCTTCACCCTCAACTCTCTCCGATGCCGACAGTCYGTCGTCGCGCACCAACACCCGAAGCCGTCACCCCGCTTAGTCCTCCTGCGCCCGTCAGGTTCGCTCCGCGCCCACAGTCCGTCGTGGCCCGCGTCAACCCCGCGCATTCGGCACCAGCTCGTCGGGTCGCCCGACTCCCACTTCACTCACCTCTTACTTCGCTCGTGTGCCGACCCTCTCGATCGCGCAACCCCGAGCTTCCAGCAATTGTTAAGAGAGCAAGTTAATCGCGCAGCCGGAATTTATAGCGTGCATGCATGCGCGAAGAACACGGAATTACAAGGACGTAGWTARATGGGGGAAAGGGAGTGCTTACATTTGCATGGTCGGGCCGCGGCGTGGGGGACGTACCCAACTCCACRCATCGATCCGAACATGCAAACGCRGCTACSCAGATARGGAGGGGAGAGAGGAAGAAACGAGGCGGGAAGAATAAGAAGCAAGAAACARAAAGATACAGTTACAAAAGTGTGCGCCCAAAATTACAGTTGCAAAAGGATTAAGGCGCCAATCAATCAAGGTCCTGGCGCAGCAGCAAGAAAGAGCGCGCAACACGCAAAGCAGCGCCCCAGAAAAACAGAAATTCCAAAATTCCTAAATTCCTAGCTAGCCTACCGATATTATGAAAAGGTCCGAAAAAAAAATCAAAATTCCGAAGGCCGTATGGCTCCAACCAAGATTCGAAAAGAAAATTCAAAAAGGAAATTCAAAAAGAGACACCGAAATTCTCGTGCGATGTCTACACGCCCAAAAGTCCGACAAAACAAAATTAAAAGAAAGGAAACGAAAGAAAAGAAACGACGTCAACGTTTATTAATCGCGCACTCCGCATCCATCCGACCAAGTTTCACCCCCTTTTCCCCGTGCATTCCTGAATTGTCCCCACCTGTCATCAGAGGCTTGTGCGAGAACGAAGAAACAACGAAGAAAGCAAGGACACACATGCAATTTTCCATCAAATCGTCCAATCGACGTGGGACCCCGCTTAGTACTTCGCGCAGAAAGTCGCGCATTACAGAAGCTTGTTCGTCACATATGTGACGCCCAGGGGGTTCCAAAGATAAGCAAGCTCCTGCTTGCTAGCTGACGTGTCGATCATCTTTGATTGATTGGCCGTGGATGGTTGATCTTCTTTTCTGCCGCATACCGTGCGAACGAGTGTGGAAGTCATGTTGCGCGGCAGTCGTATCCCGGTTGTCATCACTCGTGGGGAAGAGGAAAAGGAAGACGATAGGCAGGCGGAGGTGTTGATGGGGGATGAGTTGGGATAGGCGGGAAGAAGCGTTCCAGCTCATCGTCCGTTTCCGGAAGGCTCCGATGATGAACGATTCTATGGAAGCGGGGGAATCGGCGGCCAGTAATGGGGAGAGAAGCGAGGTAGTCGGGATAGAGAGTGGTGAAGGTTCTAAGAAGCGCCGCGCGAAAGCGTTCGCGGTCGGCGCATGCGGGGATTAACCCCGTGATGAGGCAATAAACCTCTACGGCGTTGATACGACACCATCCTACGCTAAAAAGAAGTACATGGAGAGGGAACTCAGGGGAAGCACGCTGGGAGGATGAGTGGGGATGGACTGTGACAGAGAGACGGATGGAGAAGTAATGACGGAAAGTGTCGAGGGGGAAGGGATTGTGGGGGAAGATGGCGGAACGGGTGAGCTGGCACAGGGTGAGGAAGTCATGTGGGCGGAGAGAGAGAGCCCGAGGACGAAGACCGATCGACCTCATCTCGACGTGCTCGAAGTGCGGGATGGGCCGCGAGGGAGAGGGAGGCGGAGGGGGAGCGGCTTCGTCGTTAGTGTCGTGGTGGGGAAGGAGGCCGCTCGCCAGCGGACGGCCCAACCATCTGGGCCACATCGCTGTCGTCTGGCTGAGGTGGCTCCGGGTCGAGCATTGGATCGTTGCTGATCGGAAGATCAACAACTGGTGCAATTTCTAGTTGGGGATCCTCGTCGGCGTGCTCCTCGTCATTGTCGTCACCGCTCCCTTGCTCGCTGTCTTCTTCTTCTTCTTCCTCTTCGTTCTCCGTTTGCAGGAGTTCGTCTTCTTCTCCTTCTCGCTGCTGTCCTGGCCCCTCTTCGTCTTCGTTCGGATTCTCCTCCTCTTCCTCCGAACTTTCTTCCGCGAGCTCTTCGCCGATTATCTCCTCCAATTCGTCCTCGTACGGCGGTCTGTAGAAAGCGGGATCCACGATGTTGCGCGGATCCAAATAATCCAATCGTGAAGGAGGAATTCTCGATGGGAAGCCCTCCACACAAGTTGACCACTGAAGATATGGCGGTAGCGTGCGCGAGGTGATGTGGGGCACCAAGCGCTGGTCGACCGGGAGACAATACTGACGTCAAGATCGTCGGCCAGCTGCGCAATCGGGACCGTAAGCTCCTGGGTGAGAAGCCTCCGACAGCCTGGACGCACTGACCCGAATAGAAAACCGAGAAGGTCCCTCTCTACTCCCATCCGCCACGCCTGAATCAAAAGGAGCTCCAATCGCTCAGACCGCGGATAATTTATCTCGTCCCTCGTCCACGCCACCCGTACTTCCGCCAAACACAACGAGAGTTCGATGAAGTCTTTGCGCCACGCGTCCCACTGAGAGGGATCGAGGAGGGGAACAACCAGAGGCAGAAGGAGAGGCGGGGATGAAGATCAGATCGCCAAAAGGTGGGGAAGGAAGAAGGAAGCTTGAAAGTAGAGATCGAGAAGGAGCTCATCGGGGATGGAAGGGGATGAGAGGGGGTAATTGCGTCAGTGGGTCACGCCGATCCATCCGAAGGCCGTTGTATTCGATCGCTCGGATTGGTGTGATCACGTCCCCTTGGTGCGCCAGGAACTGGGTCCACTCGTTCTGAAGATTGTGCACCCACAGAAGCAACGCCACCTTGATTCTCGTGTGTCGGCAGGGGGGGATCGCCATGAGATCTCCACTGAAATTAACCACCACCGTTATCCGGCCGACGCCCGCGGATGCTTGCTGTCGCAACCCGACAGCTTCGACCAATATGATCGCGTCAGCCCTCCCGTCGACNTTAACCACCACCGTTATCCGGCCGACGCCCGCGGATGCTTGCTGTCGCAACCCGACAGCTTCGACCAATATGATCGCGTCAGCCCTCCCGTCGACGTGGATCTCTGCTGCCACGTAGACGCCCTTCGAGCAGAAGAATTGCGCAAGCCGCTGAAGGTCCGGACTAAGACAAGGATGATGCACCTGCCGCAGTGTCAAATTCCCACGTGGTACCAGCGCTTCTTCACTTAGAGCTCTCTCCTCCATAAAGCTCATGGCGACGACGAGGGTGACGGCGTATCCGACAAAGATTGAGAAGGAGAAGGAGACGCAGAGGAGATAGAGTCATCGTCGAGAGAGGTCGATGGAGAAGGAGACGGAACAGAGGGAAGAAGACGGAGATAGGACACGTGGCGTGTGATCGGGCGAGCCGATCGACTGCCGGAAACCTCGGGAGCGAGCCCACGGTGTCCACGCCGTGGGTCCGAGTTCAATCACTCGATACTGTCCGAAGAATCGTGGCGCTAGTTTACCCTGGCGCGCACATTTCCTTACCTGCACGATGTCCCCTAACTTATATTGGGTCCTGGGACCCGCATTCCTGTTCCGGGCCTCGTAACTCCGGACCTGTCGGCCATGGGCCAATTCGGTGGACCGTTGTCGCTTCCGGGCCAGTCTAGGTAAGGACCGCTCCATAAGTTCCAGGTGCCTTTTGGCTTTGTCCCGAGCGGTGGCCCTTGTGGGGCGTCGGTTAAGTCCTGATTCGTCTGGGAGGCTCGGTATCGACACACACGCGACACTATTGGTCCGCAACTGGAAGGGGCTTAGGCCCGTCGATTCGTGGGGCGTTCCGCGATGGACAGCCAAGATGTGGTCGACAATATCAGGCCAGGGTCGGGGGTCACGTGCCGCAATATTCCGCCGCAAGGCCGTTTTTATCACCCTATTCGCGTTTTCCACTAATCCGTTAGACTGGGACATGTGCGGGGCCGTGTGCCGTATGGAGACGCCGTGTATGACCAGGTTCCTCTCGACTTCTCCTCTAAATTAGACCCCATTGTCGGTGAGGATCTCTTCGGTGTCCTGGTGCATGCCTAGAAAACGGTTGACGTACCGCGCGATTTCCGCGGCTTGTCGTGTCTTGCAGGGGTAGGCCTTGATCCACTTAGAAAAGTGGTCAACGAAAACCAACAGAATTGAACAGTCGCAACTATTCGGTCCGGGGGGCACCACTATATCAGTAGTATCGATACTAACCCTCTGAAACGGCCATTCAACCACAGTTGGGACTATCGACCTAGGCGGTTGGGTTGGGGCCTTGTCAGCAGCGCAAACCTGGCAGTGTTGGACGATGAATTTAACGTCGTCCCGGATATTGGACCAGTACCATTGATTTCTGTCAATCGCAGCTTCGGTAATACGCACGGCAAAATGCGCCGCCGTCTTCTCGTGGGCTGTCCGTACCCAGTCGTACCACATAAACGGGTGCGGAACTACTAACCATGCCCCACTGCCGTCTGCTTTACGCTTTTCTAATCGTCTGTCCACCCATCGGTAATCCCGTGCTCTTTCATTGGCCCTCCTCCGATCCTCCTTGGAGAACGTTTCGAGGGAGTTCCCTACCACAGTGGCTATCAATGCGACATCTGTCCAGATTTCCGCTCTTCTAAATTTCTGAATTTTGTCGGGGTCTTCCGTCGTGGCATCGAGGAATCGGGCTTCCGTTGGAATCTTGTCAGTGCGACATAAGGGACAGAACCAGGGTCTATCACTACTCTGATACTGTATGCACGCACCATGAGCACGTGCGACACATTTTCGACAGTCTACCCATTCAACATATCCCCTCCCTTTAGGACACATGTGGACGGAATAGACTCGAGAGATTGCCTCGCAGAAATAGCAAAATTTGTCAGGGAGGGAGGCGAAAGAAGAGGATGGGGAAGAAAGAGAGGGAATCTGGACATTACCTCCGTCACCCATTGCCCTTCACCGGCTTCTTGCCACGTGGAATAACCACAACTTCTCCGTACTTTGGACCGTTATTGATGTTTGCGTCCTTCCACGGTGTGATTTCTTCCGCCTTTGGTACTTTACCGGGTCGGTGCAAACGTGTCAGTCCGTCGGCGTTGCCGTGTCTCTCCGTTTTTCGATGAACAATGTCAAATTCATACTCTTACAACCGCACTGCCCATCGTCCGATCATGCCCGTGTAGTTGGTTAGCTTTTTAAGAGCCAACAGAGGTTCATGGTCGGTGACGAGCAGAAACTTTTGACCGTACAAATACGGATGGAAGTGTTGGATACCCCACACTACCGCATAACATTCTCCTTGTGGCGCGGAATCGTTTCGTCGCTCGTCTGACACCGTCCGGGAAGCGTACTCAATGACATGCTCCTTCCCATCGTTTCCCTTCTCTGCTAGAATGGCCGAGATAGCCTCCAGCTGCCAGTCGGTGATGAGAATAAACTGTTGAGAGGGGTCCGGTCGAATCAGAATCGGGGCCGTGACGAGAGCATCCTTCAGGGCTCCGAAGGCCTGGTTGCACTCGTCATCCCAATGAAGGGGCTGTTCTTTTCGCAGCAGGTTTGTCAGAGGCCTTGCTATAGCCGCGAACCCCTTGATGAACCGCCGGTAATACGAGGCCAGGCCCAAGAAGGCTCGAACCTGCGTCAGTGAGGTCGGAACCGGGGCCTCTTTGACCGCCGCGACTTTTCGAGAGTCCGGCCGCAGGCCTCCTCGTGTCACCACATACCCCAAGAACGAGATTTCCGGGAGGAAAAACACGCTCTTTTCCAGCGCAATCTTGAAACCTGCGTCTCTCAACGCACCCAACGTCCATTCGATGTGCTGTGCGTGCCCGTGAAACGTGTCCAAGTACACCAGAATGTCATCCATGTACACAATGACGCAGAAGTTAATCATCCCCTGAGTCAGCCGTGTCTTATTGATGAAATTCTGAAAAGTCGCGTTCATCGCCCGCTGAAACGTGGCAGGCACATTGCAGATTCCCATCGGGCACCGAACCCACTGCCACGTGCCTTCAAACAAAACGAAGGCGGTCTTGGGCCGATCTTCTTCCTTCACCAAGATATGATGGAACCCATGCCGAATGTCGAACTTGCTGAAGTAGTTAGCACACCCGATCGCATCAAGCAGATCATCAATCCGGGGAAGGGGATACACATCTTTAATCGTGATAT